CAACAACATGTTTTAAGATACCAATAACTATAAATACGGTGCAGAACTGGGAAACACTTTGCTGTACATGAAGGGACTATGAGTCAAGTTGACTTGATGAAAACTAACATGTTTTAATTAGGAAACAAGGAAAATTTGAGTCCAGACAAGAGTTTGTGTAGATGTGTATTGTATGAAGAGGGGTGTGTGTGAAGGACCAAAATCTCATGGTCATCCTAGAAGAATATATCCAGGGTGGCTGAGGCCCATCGGAGCAGGAACTCCAATCTGTCAGGAAGTAGGAAAGTCCTGGGGACCAGCTCCTCTGTGACTTGTCTTGGTATCGCTGGGTCAATTTTGATCACTTTGTGCTTCAATCTGTTGGTCTTCATTCTTGGGCCTGCTTTTAGCCGAAGCTTCTGCTCATCCATCAATTCTGCTTCTGCATTCTTCATCTTACCATGACTGCTGACTCCACTTCCTGCCTCTTCTCTCCATACATTCCCTTCACTTCAGCTCCCTCTGCCAACCACCTCATCCTCTCAGAATTTCCTCATTTAAATTCTTGAGGAGATCTGGTTGGTCCAACTCACACATTCCATGTTGTGTCAGACCAGGCATAAATTACTGGTTAATTGCCATTCATGATTCTAATTGTTTGGCTGAGGAGGAGGAAGAGGGGCTCATATAGTAAAACAACATGGCTGCCTGAAGGTCATCAGGGTTTGTGAGCAGAATAGGCATAGTAATTGCAGTTTCTAACACATCACAGGAAACTTCATCTAAAGGCTCAGAATGTCTTAGAATGAAGTATCTCTTGTCTACAACTTCCAAGTCCTTGTGATTAGAGTTGGGGAGACAGACTATTTGGTATACCAAATATCTTGTCTAACTGGAAGACAGAGTTTAGATTAAAGATCATTCATTCTTAAGGTAAGGCTGGTCAGTTCCTCTAGGTAGGGCTTTTTGTTTATTTTTCCCATTGCTGTGTTCCAAGCCCCTGCAAAAGTGTCTAGCACAGAATATGCCCTAAACAAATACATACTGAAGAAATGAGTGATACTGGAGCATCCAGAAAATTCCACATGTTGTGGGTCAGACATGGGAAAACCTAATTCATATGCTGCCTTGGTCCTGCTCCTGGACAATATTAATACCATCCTAATCAAGACACAGCCATAGATATAACTCTTCAGGCAAACCACTTACTCTTTGCTTAAAAGAAAATACAAGTAATTTGGGATCATCTGCTGGTCTCAATTCCTGCTAATCACTAAAAAATTAACTGTTGGCCTGGTAGGAGTCAGTTTCAAGAATCCTCAAGGCACAAAGATGCTAAGGAGGAGACACACTGAAATCAGTGTTGAGTTTGCCCCAGGGGATAGTTGGCAATGTGTGCCATAACTGACAGCTGTGTGTGCTCACGTGCACGTGGGTGCGCACATTGGTGTGCACTAATGGCATGCAGTGGGTAGAGGCAAGGGATCTGCTTGCTATACCTCCTTCTAAGCACAAGATTGTTCCCCACATCCCTTACAACAAAGAATTATTAGGCCAAAAACATCAGTAGTTTGTGAAGTTTAGAAACCGATTAAAAAAGATCAGGTTCACCTTTCAGAGAAATTCTCGTTCCCTGACATGTGCAGGCTCTCCCTTCTTTGTTGAGACATTCACAAGCAAACACCACCCCAAAAGTATGGGAAGAAAGGGAGGACTAAGAAGGACAGCATCATTTCTTTTATTCAAATTTTATTGGAAGTTTACAAATGTATTACAGACATCAGTAAAACATCATATCCATTTTACAGGGCACAGATCTCAAGCAAAATGCTCACAACAGTCTCTGGCAGAGCCCACACCAAAGGCCTGTTGCAGGCCTCCCTAACAAATAGCTTGACACTCGACACACAACACAGACTCTGGCCTGTTTTACCTTCTCGGGCCCTCTGAGGTCTTGTTTACGCACTCGAAATTAAAACAGAAGTGTAAAGCAATCCTGTGAAGGGAAGAATGTATTTAGGAGATAGGAAAACAGCCAACATCATAATTTGTGAAGGAAAATGGAGGACACATAAGGCCTTAAATGTCATCAGGGTCCATGATAGAATCAAAACACTTTTCGGAAAAATTTAGAAATCAAAATTGAGAGGCTTGAGAACAGATTTTCCGGTGAACTCTCTCTAAACATTTTAGAAAAGTTTGGTCAGCGACCTACTGAGCACTGATGGCCAAATGCCCACTAGAGTCAAGGGATGTCTCAGGAAATTCTCAGGAGAGAAAAAGACATTTTTTTTTTCCATTTTATGGATTCACTGTATCTAAATCACAGAAATATTTTCCAAATACCACAAGACTTTTTCCTCTCCTTTCTATTACCCCTGGGGAAAGCTAGTTTTGTCAGCAGGAAGTAAGCTTATTAAATACTACAGCTCCCAAGAGTGAGTCATGTTTTACGGGAGTCTTGTGTTGACTGGGCTACTACTATGAGAAAATGGAAAAGGAATCCAATCTTTTCTTGATCCTGACCTTGATGACTGCTTCCAAATGGCCAAACAAGCTCTGGTGTCTGCTGAGTCCCAGAGGGCCAAACCACTGGAGACAATGCTCCCTTCCTTTTCAGTTCTGTTGCACTTAAAGAAATGAACCTCAAAAGGCAGCAATCTGAAACCGCCTTCAAACATCGGCAAATAGGCTTGGCCGATGAGTTCTGCATATGAAATTATGTCCACAGAGCCCATTTCAAGTCCCTTTAAAGCCCCTGAAGGTGCTGAACGTTGCTCATAGCAACCCTTCCGGCACAAGGTACTGGGATAACTGGTTCAATTTTCCACTTTCCTTTGTCATATATGGATCCTCCTTCTTAGGCGTTAACATCTGGTTTCTGTTAGGCAGACGTATACGAATAGCACTTCCCCTTGGAATTTAAGTAGTTGTGTTATTTCTTGTTAGAAGGTGGGATTAGATGAAGAATAGTATGAACATTATTTAACCTCTGCAAAATGATGAGCACAAGGTTGTCTATAATAATTGGCAAGGAACATGAGATTGGAAAACGAGGACAAAGAGATTTGTCTTCAGCTGGTCAAAAGATATCACCTTCCTCTGGCATTCAAATCTGGAGAGGGTTGAGTCTCAACAATTATTATTTATGAATGATACTCCCTAAACTTGAGTGGTACTGTTTTTGGTCAATGGCGAGAGAGCCCAAGGTCGGAAGATAAAAAGGAATCAGAACATAGCAAAGGTTGCCTCAACAGCAATGGGGTTTTCTTGGGGTCCCACCCGAGAGCCATGGTGGTGCAGTGGCTAAGCACTCAGCTGCTAACTGAATGAAATGTTGGCAGTTTGAACTAACAGCTGCTCTGCGGGAGAAAGATGTGGCAGTCTGCTTCCATAAAGATCACAGCCTAGGAAACTCTATGGGGCAGTTATACTCTGTCCCATAGGGTCACTATGAGTAAGAATCAACAGGAATGATTTTTTTTGGGGGGGGTTCCCTACCTGAACTCAGCTGCTACAAGAGAAAATATGTATATAACCTTGTTGCAGTGCAGGAGCATCCTATGGAATGGAGAAAAAGCTGCCTCCAGGTCCTGTATTGAAAACACAAAAGGGCATGTTTACTCAGCTGGTTGGGTCAGGGAAGGAAGGACCAGAGAAGAAAAAGTGAGTATTGGAAGAAGGTGTCAAGAAAAGAGGAGCAACAATTCTCCCCCTCTTGGATACATGGAAAGGTTCCTGGATGGTGCATATCATTTGTACTTGACTACTAAAGGTTGGAGGTTTGAAGCCACCCAGAAGCCACCCTGGAAGAAAGGCCCGGTGAACTGCTTCAGAAAAATTGTTGTTGTTATGCGCTGTCAAGTCGGACCCGACTCATAGCGACCCCTCCTTGGGTTGCCGAGGTGGTATCACTACAGAAGTAGATTGCCCAACCTTCCTTCTGAGGAGTGGCTGGTGGGTTTGAACCACTAGCCTTCTGGTTAGTAGTCAAGTGCCTTAGGCACTATGCTACCAGAGCCACTGAAAACCCTATGGAGTATAAGTCTACACTGAAACACGTAGAGCTGTCACGATGAGGAGTTGACCCAATGGTAACTGGTAACTAGTAGCTTTAGTAGCTTTCCTCCATCTGCACACTCTGTAATGTGACCGGCAGGAGGTAGGGTGGGGAGAAAAAAACTGCAGAAGTGGCATAGATGGAGGTGATCTTGCTCACAGACAGTTTGACCTTGAAGCTGGGATCTCATTAATCAGTTTGGTCCCCTGGATGCTTCCTGGGCAGCTAGATCTGAAATTGCTTACTCCTTTAGGTACTGGCTATGCGTCACTTTCTAGGCCATCTTCTCTCTGCTGATGGTGGTTGAAGTCTTATTTGGGAAATGTAAGAGGTACTCTGAAAAGCACAGCCTTAGAAAGCAACTTTTACTGGGAGAATTTCTTTCACTGGATTTGGGGCCACAGAGGACAGACTTATTTCCAGCTGTTTGCTAAGTGATCCATTTGCTTTTTTCTCTCTTTTCTTTTTCCAGAAATGCCTTTTTATTCTCATCAATCAAGAAACTCCAAACTCCAAATTGGGCTCGCTTGATTTCTACCAGAAACGTGCCACTTCCAAGTGTGTTGTTACACATTATTTCTTAATCAGTTTGCCAAGCAGTTTACAAACTTACTATACAAACATAAGAGTTAATTCTCTGGAGACTCGGATAATTAATGAAGCATTTAGATATGAAGATAGCATGCGGAAAACAGCCACAACCAACATTTGCATTGCTGTTTTTTTTTTTTTTTTTTAAATCAGTGACAATGACAAATGTCATATTAATACCTGAAAAGCAAATTATTTTAATACATCCTGAATGGAGTGCCATTCCCATGTCTATTACAGCCTTCCTTTCCCCAGACCCACTTGGGATGGTGTCTGAAAAGCCACTTTTCACATTCTCTCCATAAGAAAATATTAGAAAATTTTAACTACTATACTGAAAAGAGACCACGCTCACCTCACCAGGGCAGATGGCCACTGAGATACACCATGTACTACAATGACAGTACATCTCACTAAAGGTGGGTCCTTATGGATTATTTCAACTGCCACAAGCCATGAGGGGGGGGGGGAGATGGAAGAAAAGCAAGTGCTTCATTGTGAACTGAAGCAAGGTAGGAAGTTTTATTTTACTATAAACAGCACAACCGTTAAATGTCTTCTTTAAGCAAACTCACTTTTGAGCCCATTTTCTGTCTGACCAACAGTCCTCAACATTCCAAATGGAAGTTCCCCTCTCAACAAAGCCAGTTTTTCAAATTCACTACCTTGAAATCTCCTGCACAGCTCAACCTCCTGTGAGTAACCCAGATTTTCCGGTTACTGAGCTTGTTAAATAGGATTCTTTCTACAGGCGCTGGGGGCTAGTCAAGGTGGCTGTCACCTCTCCACTGGTTCATTTCCAGAAGTTCTTCTTGTCCCTGACCTTCCTTCATATTTCCCTTCAGCTTTGACCTTTGACCCACTTTCTGTTTTCAAACTGCTTTGCTCTTCCCTTCTCCACGTAAAATGTGCAACCTAGAACACACCATCACTCCCAGAGCCCCCCAGAACCTTCTTGCCCCTCAATTCCAAATGCTTAAGTTCATTTGCTTTGAGGACAACTGGTTGCCAGGCTAAGGCAGCAGCAGTTCCGTCTGCCTTGGTAAAGGAAAGCAGATAATACAATCCAGGAAACATGAGCACCAGAAAATAATGCCACATTCAAAACAACGTCATGCTGACATCACACAATGGCACCACTCACAGTCACTTTAATTTTCCCCAAGGGACAGATCAATAGTAAGCAACTTCAGTGTTCCCAGCAGGGATGGCATTTCTCACAGAACTTTACTGACACTGGTTAGTTTCTCTAATTGGCAAAAGGTAAGTTTGCAATGAAAATAAACAAAACAAAACAAATTACTATCACTTTGTAGAGAATAAATTCTACCAAGAGCGGGAGCAGCCTTAAGGAAAGCTCCTTAAGGGAGAATGAAGCATAAAAAGCTTTGGATATAATAGTTAATTATTATTTTTTTTCAGCCACAAAAAGCCAAATTGAATATGCTCCTTTGAAAAAGGCCTGACTGACATGTAACGAATTTGTAAAAGGGGGAAAAAGAAAGGTGGTCCTGGGCCACCTTTGAATACTACTCAAAGACAATGCTGAACGTGCATGCAAGTCCCCACTGAGTCCTACGATATAGAAATTCCTTTGATATTACAAAATACAAAAATATTTTATCAGAACTCTCATTTACATTGCATTTACAATGGACACGTAAATAACTTAGTCTCGGGTCCTGGCTAATAAACAAATTACTTACTGGAAAAGGGTCCTAAAAGTGAGAGAACTAGAGAAGAGTACAAGCGAGCAGAAACATTTGCCATTTTATGGGTGGCAACTCAACACAGACTTGGAGGGAAGGAGGTGGCCAACCCTGGCCTCAAGAGAGTCTAAAGTGTTTCCAAAGTGAAATGTGCAAATAATATTCAACATGCCAAGAACTGTGACTACCTTTTGCGTCCTTCTGTGACCTTGCCTCCATCAACCGAGAGCATTCCTCCTCTTCCTCCCATCAGTCCCCCCAAAGCACTTTAAAATTCAAAACAGTGCAAGTTTCTAAATTTACATTCTTAGTTCCCATCTTCCCCCATCCCTCGACCCCAGTAATATTAAGAAATGATACAGTTTTTGCTCTTCTGTCTTTTCCTGCTGTGCAACTGTCCCCTGCCCCCTAGTGTGGAGGATTTGGGGATGCCATAAGAGCTGTATTTGTGTAGCAGCTCGTCACTCGTGACGTATCGCAGGCGGGCTGGCTGGGGGATTGGTTCACCTAGGAAATAGCCCTCGTTGTCAGACTCTGAAGAGGAAGAGCAGGTGGAACACCAATCGTACTCAGCGAAGTAGGGTCCCCATCGCTCTCCAAAGGCATTCTGCAAAGCCAGGTCTGACACAGTCCTTGGGCAGTGGCCGTACAGGTCCCTCCGGGACCCCTGGCCCAGGCTCTCCTGGAAGCTCCGCTGGCGCATGAATTGGTCATAGTCCTCTCTGGCTCTCAAAGGGGGCCTTTCTTTTAACCGCGAGATAGCCTCGCGTTCACTGGCCAGGTGGAGGGCATTGTCCGAGCGAGAGCGTCGGGAACGCCTGGACCGGTGAGGTCGGAAGCGGCGGTTGTCATCGCGGGATGTAGCTCTTCTCCGGGTGCGTTCGCTCATGGGCTGGATCCTCACCCCCTCCTGCCCTGGCAGCTTGCTGCCTGCCATCCCTCCGTCGAAATCAAAGCTCTGATGCATCCTCCCATGGGACTGCAAGTCTCTGTACCCAATGGGGTTGCCGAGCTGGTGGAGGTTTCCCTCCATCTCCTGGTACTGCTGGGCAGAGAGCAGGCTGCGGACTGACTCTGCGCTCCGGAACTGCATCGATGAGTTCAGAGTGCCCATGTTGCTCAGCTTCTCAGAGACATTCATTCCAGAGTCTTTGCTGAGGTCAGGCATGGAAAATCGGGACAGGTGCTCCTGGCGCTTGGCACCACCTTCAGCGGAGAAGCCTGGGGGAGAGAGGAGAGGATCACAGAGGTTAATACAAACGTGCCACAATGGGGGTCACTGTCAGCCACTGGCATCAAAGCAGGGCACTGCTATGGACTGTCATCTACCCAGGGTCACTGCATACAGCTGTGTAGTTGTACACTGCACAAAGGCACTCTTAGGCGGTGTGAGCAGGGGCTCTTTGATCTCCTAAGAGGGACAGCTACCACCTGGAAGGGGCACTTGATTAAAATGCATCCAGGTCAGTGAAGATACATTTTACTAGTTATAAATTCCTCCAAAGGCTCATAAAAGTTACTAAGATCCACTTTGCATCTAACGCATGTTTCCTCTCTTTGGATTTTCACTTCACAAAGTGATTCGATGACTTCTAATTCTAATGACGAACTGTAAACTATATAGGACAAATGCTTTGAATGAGGAAACTTTAAGCTATAATGCCAGGCCATGGTAAGCAGTTCCTGGTAACCTTGAGCTTAGACTGTTGTTGTTAGCTGCCATCAAGTTGTCCCCCACTCATGGTGACCCCGTGTACAACAGAACCAAACACTGCTCCGTCCTGGGTCATCTCCACAATCACTAGTCTGCTCAGAGTCCATTGTAGTGGCCACTGTGTGTCTTGGGTGCCTTCCACTTACGGAGTTCATCTTCTGGCACTACCCTGAACAACACCCCATTGTGACCCACAGGGTTTTCATTGGCTATTTTTTGCAAGTAGACCACAGGCCTTTCTTTCTAGTCTGTCTTAGTCTGGAAGCTCTGCTGAAACCTGCCTACCACAGGTGACCCTGCTGGTATTTGAAATACCACTGGCATAGCATCCAGCAAATAGCAACATGCAAACCACCACAGTACAACAAACTGACAGATGATTGGTGGAAACCAGAGTGTGGTTCTCTCTAGTAGGACCCTTCACTTCTCTGTTAGCCCCTAGCAATCTCCTATCCTGTCTGCTGTCCCTAAGCAGCACATAGCTGCCTATTTCGAATGTCTTGGGCACTAAGCAACTTCCTAGGAATAATTCAGGCCTCCCAGAGGGATATTTATTTTCTCAGGCTGCTGAGTGAATCATTTAGCCTCAAGCTTCTAAATGGGTCTCCAGCAGCCAGAAAATGGGAATGGGACTCTGGGGTATTCCTGCCTTCCCCTGGGGAAGCATTTTTTTAAAATAAAGCAATGTTTCCTAGCAGTGGGCTTGCATTTCCTAAGTGGTGTAAAATGGGCTCCTGGTATCACTGAGATGAAAACATTTTGAAGGTAGTGGGGGATCTTGACTCTCTCTAGTAACTCCCATTTTGCCCTTCTTAAAGCAACACTTTCTATGGGTGATGGTGCAGGTGGCAAAGTCTCAGCATTTTCCCCTCATGATACATTAAAAGGACCAGCAATCTTGCCATTTCTGGTTGCCATTGCTTTTAGATTGCAACGGCCCATTATCACTTGACACTGATTATTCTTCCCCACCTACCGTGACCCATGATTTCCTTTGCACCCACAAAACCAAAGCAATATTATCCAGCACTTTGGAAAACTATTTGGCATTATCTACAAAAGCTAAATATATACACATATACATATACATAGGAGCTCTGAGAGCATAGTGCCTAAGGCACTTGACTGCTAACCAGAAGGCTGGTGGTTCAAACCCACCAGCCACTCCTCGGAAGGAAGGTTGGGCAATCCTGCTTCTGTAGTGATACTGCCTCGGAAACCCAAGGAGGGGTCGCTATGAGTCGGGGCTGACTCGACGGCAAATAACAACAACAACAACATACATATACATGGATTATCAATAAACCCAAAAAACCCACTGTCATCTGATTCTGACTTACTGACAGTAAAATTGCCTCACAAGGTTTCCAAGGCTGTAAATCTTTACCGAAGTAGACTGCCTCATCTTTCTCCCATGGAGCAGCTGGTAGGTTCAATCTGGCAAGCTTTTGGTTAGCAGCTGAATGCTTTAAGCACAGCACCATCAGAGCTTCTTCTTATAAATAAAACTGTTTTGAATCTCCATGCATTGGTGGCACAACAGTTAACTGCTGACCAGAAAAGCTGGCAGTTCAAACCCACCAACCATTCCTCGGAAGGAAGACTGGGCAATCTACTTCCGTAGAGATACTGCCTCAGAAACCCAAGGAGGTGTCGCTATGAATTGACTTGACTTGATGGCAGTGAGTTTGTTTTTGTTTTTTGTTTTACTTTATATAATGAACTCTGGTGGTGCACTGGTTAAGGTATTTGACTGCTAACCAAAAGGTAGTGGTTTGAACCCACTAGTTGCTCTGCAGAAGAAAAGATGGGACAGTCTACTTCTGTATTGGAAACCCAATAGAGGTTGCTATGAATTGGAATTGACTTGATGATGTCAGTGAGTTTGTTTTTATGGGTTGGGAAAAAAAAAAAAACCTCACTGCCCTGGAATCTTGAATGGACATTATTTTTAAACTGTATTACTGAAATGTAACTTATATAAAGTATTATGTGTTACTTTAAATAAGTTACACCTCAGTAATACAGTTTAAAAATAAAGTAATGTCCATTCAAGAGCCAAGTCTAAACACTGGATATACATTTGGAGAAAATATTCCGCCAAATATCATACTCTCCAGTAATTTTTTTTTTTTTTTTTTTTAGTTTCATTACTGGGATAATTTTCAGGGCAAGACAAATTGGTTCCTCCAACTCCTGCTTTCCCTGCTGCTTATCTCTGACATACAAATCACAAAAGCTGATTTACAACGGCCTAATCACTTCCAGAGCCTCCCCAGTGCTAAGGCAGGGAGGAGAGGACATCAAACCAGGATGATGAATGAGAAGCTGGAGTGGATGAACTCTAGTAAGAAAGGAAAAAATATCTTCAAAATAACATCTCGAAACAAAAGCTGTTTAGGCAGGTCCCGTGATATTTGCAGGTCTTTCTACTAAAGCCCTCAAATGGAATTAGAGTCAGTATAAATAATCTAATCAGTTAACCAGTTGTCATCAAGTGAACTCCGACTCATGGAGACCCCATGTGTGTGTCAAAGTAGAACTGTCATCCACAGGGCTTTCAATGGCTGATTTTTTTAAAAGTAGATTGTCAGGCCTTACTTTCAAGACACTTCTGGGTGCACTCAAACCTTCAACATTTTGGTTAGCAGCAGAGAGCATTTGTATTTCCAGGGACTCCGTAAATAATATAAACCAAAACCAAACTCACTGCCATTGAGTCAGTTCCTACTCATAGTGACTCCACAGGGTTTCCAAGGCTGTAAATCTGGAAGCAGACTGCCTCATCCTTCTCCTGTGCAGCAGCTGACAGGTTCGAACCACTGATCATTTGGTTAGCAGCCAAATGCCTTAACCACTGCACTACCTGAGCTCCCTGTAAATATAGCAAATATACATTCCTAAACATGTTTACCCAAACCTTTTACGTGCTGCAAAGTGAAGCAGTTCTGAGAACATCCTGACTGTGAATAGATTCATATTTCAATGTTGAGGTAAACATGAAAAAGAGTAGCTTCAGTTCTATTGGGAGGTTCTTGCCATCTCCTATTGTGCTTCTTCATGTCAGGAAATATCAGGACATCCTTAACCACTTCCCCTAAAAAGAAAAGTGCTCTGGCAAGAATTGGAGGGGCCTGTTGCTCAAGTCCAAAGTTTATCATCGGTTTTACCTAAACATAAGCTATTCCCCTGGGAGATGTGTAGATGGGATTGGAAATGCTACCTGCTCACTCCAGAAAGAAGAAATATCTATTTTCTTTCTTATTCATTAGTTCACAGTTTTCTCCAGGGTCTTCTTGCACACAGGGCACAAACCAAGAGACCAATGTTGCCCACAGATGAGTAATAATTATGTATTTGCCTCTAAAAAATGGTAGTTCTGTGGTTAATTTCATCAATGGCAAAATCCAGAAACCTTATGCAGACCTCAAAGCCCTACGTGACTTGGCTCCTGCCTCACTCTCTGGGATTGACTAAACACTCCCCATTGCTCACTCTGCCTTAGCCACACAACATTCTTCCTCCTCAAACACACCAATGAGCTCATTCCAGCCCCTCTTGGAAAACTCTCCTCTTTGCCTGGCTGACTTCTTCTGATCAATAAAGCCCTCAACAATGAATGTTACCTCTTTAATAGTGCCTTCCCTGAACATCCCTTCTAAAGTAGCAAAGTTGGCTCCCACCCACCAGTCACTCTGTAGCTCCTGATCTTTTCTTGAAGTACCCATCATGGCCACCTGAATTTAAGTATGTGTTTGTAGCTAAATGGACCCCCCCTTGAAAACAGTGGCAGAAGCTCTGGTGGCACACTGGTTAAGCACTCAGCTAATGGACAGGTCAGTGGTTTGAACCCACCAGCTGCTCCCTGAGAGAAAGATGTAGCAGTCTGAGGCTGTTTTCATGAAGACTGCAGCCCAAGAAACCCGATGGTGCAGCTCTGCTCTGTCCTACAGTGTCACTATGAGTCAGAATCACCTCAACAGCAATGAGTGTGAGAGTAGGGAACTTATCCCCTTGTTCCCTACACTCTCAAGGTGATAGCACAGTGCCAGGCACTCAGTTGGTTCTCATTAAATACTTGGTACATGAACAACGATAACTGAATCTTCACAGCTAGGAAAGAGGGCAATAACACTCTGACCTTCAGGAGGCCAGGGCTTAAAGAACAATGGACTGTAATCCAAATGAGTGGGATTCCAAACACCAGGAGCCAAAATACCATGATCACACTTGTCAATCTCACTGTCTCTTGTGGTTCATTATATGGCACACCATCTGGGGCTTCTCCAATTTTAAAGTCGAAAACGTGTGATTTATAATTAGCTCCCCAATCTGCAAAAATGTTCTGCTTTATTAATCACAACTCTGGAGAACTGTTTAAATTAGCACCTCCCATGTCCCCAAGATGGAACTGTACTATCTCAGCTTATACCCCTATGTGAGAAACACTCACTCCTTCTCTAACTATGGACAGAACTGGAGAGCCACTTCCTGGCTGGATGACTTG